TCCGCAGGAAGGCGTTTGAAGGAGTAGTTCCACAGGCAAATTGAATTTAGCTCAGAGGCTTCATTTAGCCTTGAGACTCTTTTACATGCAGTACATCTACTAACATGGGGCACCCGGCTTTAGCACCCCTCCGCAGGAAGGTGTACGAAGGAGTATATCAATAGGCAAATTAAATTTAGCTCAGAGGCTTCATTTAGGCTAGAGGATCTTTTACATGCAGTAGATTACTGACATGGGACAGCCGGCTTTACTTCCCCTCCGCAGGAAGGCGCACGAAGGATTAGTTCATTCGTCGGTTCATTTAGAGCCGCATACGGGTACCCGTTGCAGTTCGGGAGGGCTGGCCGGGTGAGTGGGTGAGATGCCTAACGCGCTGCGCGTGCGCAGGAGGCGGGCGAGGTGCTGGTGGGGCTGAGCTTCCTGCCGACGGCGCAGCGCCTGTCCGTGAGCGTGCTGCGCGCCGCGCGCCTGCGCTACCTGCAGGTGGCCAACTCGCTCGCCGATTTCCGTGAGTACTGCCGCTGCGCGTTCAAACATCCATTAAATTCAACTAGTACACAACCAACTCCTCCGTACAATCACTAACGCATCCTGGTTTATATCAATTACACAATGACTAGAATCAACAATTACACAATGAATTCAAACTCGATCCCATCATGCCTGAAACCTCAAATGTACACCATATCCAAACCTTATCTTCATTCAAAATTTGCGTAAACCATTCATCCCACTCGCATAAAAATAGATGTCCATTCCACATATTTTGTAAATTGTTCTCAGATCTGGAGTAGTTCCTATGAGGTGCCATTATGGTTTCCTCAACCTCTGTAGTAGTATTAAATTAGGATAAGTTTAGGATAAGTTAAGTTATAAGTCATCAATACATATGTAAAGTTATTAAAACTGAACCATGTACAAAACAATCAAATAAATAAATGAAATAAATACCACTGCGCAGCCAACGAGCTAAAACATAATACAAAGAGTGGCTGAAGCGCCTCCATCTTTAAAGCAAATTGAAGCCGTGTATTTTTGCAGACAAAGCAGCGGCTGCTGGGAAACAAAGTATTCTCTACTGTAATTTAGTAACTCTTCAGGTCTCAGCTGTTGACTTTTCATCCAATCGGGAACGTGAACGTCACCATACTAATGTCTCTATGGTGTCGTTTAAGCTCCCGATTGGATGAAGCTGGCAACAACAGATACCTGCCAACGATAGAGTTGTGAAAATCGCAGTAAAACATTACGTTTGGCGTTGGTTACGAACGGTTATACCGCCCCTCGTATGTTTTGACTTCAGAAAACATGGCCACTAATTCGGCGGCCACTAGTTCGGCGAACCTCTACCAAGAGCGCTGAAACTATAGGGACAGCCACTCTATGTAGTATATTCTAGCTCGTTGTGTGCGGCCACCGCTCACAGCTCTCAACGCTTGCGCTGGTGCCGGGAGCGACACGGCAGAGGGTGACTACACTCCGATTTATATAATAGAGTGGTTGTAGGTTTAAATTAGAGTGTAGTGAGTTGACGCAGGGTTTGTGTTCTTATTAAAACCACTTGGGCTGATTAAAAGCACGTAACGGACGTGATTACAATTTATCGATTAAAAATGGTTAAAGGACGTGGTTGACTACTATTATTAGTCTCGCAAGTGTAGTGTATGTTTTTTATCACGCGAAATGGTGGGGACAGATCGGGCACCGACCTACGTCGCCCGCGGAGTTTTTCACAACCAGCTATCTCCTTCCATGTATATCCTACCAGCGGGTCACCGCCACAGTCGGGACAAACTCGAATATCCCGATCGGTCTACCGACATGTATGCTTATGTAGTGCACGCGTGAGTGTGTGTATGTGTCAATAAGGGGTGAGGATTGGCCGAAGACGAGAATGGAAATGTGGAATGGAATGGAACCGCTTCGCGGCCCTTTGTTAAGGGTACTTTTGTAAGGGTTTGTCTGTTGTTGATCGGATAAACCACGGAAAAATACTAACAAACGGGTCACGGACCGCCCGGGATCTTTTCTTCCTTTTTCTTGTCCTATCCTCTCCCCTTACACCCACTTATGTCGGGAGACCAGTGGAAGACTTACAGCATGTTCTAGGTGGGGCGGTGCACCGCTAGTGAGAGGCACGTGATTGGGAAAAACCTCGCTAGCCGGCGGTAGGTCGAGGCCTGTTCTCCCCAACTAGCAGGGCAACACCATGATCACATCCCGTGATGAAAACAATGCACTACACTTACGGAAGCAATGATCACAGTACTTGACCCGCCCAAAAACACGAAAAAGTAAATTAATGAACAAGCTTCAGTCACGTCCGTTACAAATTCTTATTTCATAAATTTTAACCACCGCCCTTAGATGTTTTGAATCGGCACAAATGACTCTAATAATACAAATCCTACAGCAACGCACTACACTTACGAGGATATTCCCGAGAAACGCGTGCGGAACTAATGATCTTAGAAGATGACGTGCTCCGAATCACAAATCAGTCAATCAAAGAATCGTTGTAAAAAATTAAAAAAACGTCACCTTTCTTCACCAAACACAACCACATCACACTTCACAACCACAAAACGTCACCAAATTTCTTAGAGAGAGAACCGGGTCTGAGCGGAATCCAATGAAAACGAAAAGAGGCAACCGGCGCGCAAGCGTGTCCGCCCTGTGCCCGCGTGAGGGTTCAAGGTCGGGCGGGCGGTGGCGTTTCAGATCCGTACGTGCGCGTGATCCAGCTGCACGGCTCGACGGGGCGGTCGGTGCGGCGCAAGAAGACG